CCCGCGGTCGCCTCGGGCGGGGATCGGCGCCCCGGAGCGAAAAGCCTGACGCGTCCCCTCCCCCCGCACCCCCCATCTCCCACCGCCCAGTCCCCGGCGGCGATGAGACAGAGCGGCGCCTCCCAGCCCCTGCTGATCAACATGTACCTGCCAGGTACCAGGGACCAGCCCGGGGCTGGAGGCACAAGGACCCGGGGGCGGGAAGTCTAGGCTTGGGCTTGGGAAGGGGGTGCTGGAGTCCAAAGGAAGGGGACACTGTCCAGAGACTCAGATTGCTGGAAGGGCTGATTGCAATTTAGGGCATTGGAGGGAACTTAAAGGGTTTCAATGTGGGGTTTAAGTGACTCGAAGTGAGCAGAATGGGAGCCTGGGAAGCCAAGGGCAGGAGCTCAGGGGCCCGAAGGAGCCTGGCAGAGGAAGCAGGGATCTTCGGCGCGGCGGAGGCTCTGTGCTCGAGCCGTGCGCGGAGGCCGTGGTTGGCCGGGCGTTGCCCCTGCGCCGTCACGTCTCCTCACCTCCGTGCTCCCCGCGTTCGCACCCGCCCGACCCTCCAGGCGCCCTCCTCTTCTCTCCGATGGGCTCCGCGCGCTCCGGCTCGGTTGGCGCAATCCCCACTCGGCTTTATAAGGCTCCAGCCGGCGCCTTCGGAAAGCGGATTTCCTTTTTCCTGGACGCGTTTCCTGACTTGGGCGCTACGGAGGGGCTCCGCGCGGCGCGCGCCGGGGCCGAGCTCCGGGAGGAGGAGCCGGGTGGCCCGGGCCCGCAGCCTCGCATCTGGGGACTACGGCACCCCCCTCAAGCTTTGGCCCCGGGCCCTTTCGGTCAAGCCCACAATTTCCACCCGGGTTCGCCCGGCTGTTTTCTTCTGCTATCGCAGATCCCGTCGGAGACGGTCTCTTCAAGGAAGGGAAGAGCCCGGGCTGGGGGCCGCTGAGCCCCGCGGTGCAGAAAGGTGAGCTGGCCGGTGCACTGGGTGAGCGAAGGCGAGGGCAGTGAATGAGGAGGAGGGGTGTTGGGACACGGACCCCAACAGGAAGGGACCACCGCCACCCGGACAGAGGGTGGGAGCGATGTGCACCCCGGGTTCTGGGAAACGTAGGGTTCTGGCCTGATTGTCAGGGAGGCTGTGGGGAGACAGTCACTTGGCCTTTGGCCCGTATACCTTTCGAGTCGCAGGGCTGGACTTTCGGGCGAGGGCAGACGGAGAGGATCCCGGCCCCTGGCCGCCGGCCCCCCGCCCC